TTATTAAATAATACTTGATTATCATATTATAATGCTTGACTGCTTGACTGACTGATATTAAGAGTGTACTTTCAGATATTTAAAAAGCTGTACCATTTTACAAACATATATATATATATATAGTATAGTATTTCAGTCTGGCAAGTAAACAAAAAAATATACTAGCCAATGGCGATTCAATTGCCAAGGTGTCCGTAGAGGGTTGAATTCACAGTCCAGCATGCTCCATACATTATATTGAGAGTAGTAATGTACTTGTATATTCTCACTGACTTTCAAGGTTAAATTACCCAGATTCCCATCACACTTTCAAGCCTCCATCTCAAATATGAACTCTGTCCTTCTTCTAAGTATAGAGGTGCATCTCAGTAAATAATACACTATGTGCTGCCAACTTAATTAAGACTAAAGTACTGTATGATGCCCTTCTGTTTGGGTTCTTTTATTAGTGTCAATTTACATTAATGCACCAAAAATGTATGATGTCGTACTGTTAATATAAGTCATATGAAGCAAATATAATTTAGGGTTGTTAAGATTTTTTAATGTGTTTCGAATAAGTCTCTCATGCTCACCAAGGCTACATTTGTTTGATCAAAATGCAGTAAAAATAGTGATATTGTGAAATATCTTATACATTTCTATATATTTAAAATTGTAATTTATTCCTGAGATTGCAAAGTTGAATTTTCAGCAGCCATTACTCTAGTTTTCAGTGTCACATCATCATTCAGAAATCATTCTAATATGCTGATTTGGTGCTCAGGTTATATGTCATATTATTATCACAGTTGTACTGTAGTTTTCATGCACAGATGCATAGAAAGTTCACAAGAACAGCATTTATTTTAAATAGATATTTTTAACAGTGCAAATGTTATTACTGTCATATTTGATCAGTTTAATACATCCTTGCTGAATACCAATAACAAAGTGACAAAGTATGTATCCAGTTTGATTTACCATTCAGAGAGCAAACGCTAAGGTGGGTCTCTTTAAGAACATAAGCATAACATATATTCACACAACAGTAAATCTGCTAGTTGTTATACAGAATGTAATAAAACATTCAATTCAGTTGGGAATTTGATATTCCACATGGACAATTACTGGACTTTGTGATGATTCTCACACCTCACAGACTTCCCTTTTTAGATCATTCCCATCACAACAGCTCCATTCAGTCAGGCAATGAAGATGAATAACATCACTGCATTATAGCGCTGACTTTACAGAGCTGTTTGGTTCAAATACATGTGTCCATGCTAAAGAGCAAATTTAAAGAAATTAAAAGAATGCCAATTAACACATATCACAATCTTATTGTTCATTTAATTCATACAGTATGTGCTCCGCATATTCAGTGCTGGCAGAGGTTTTCAACTTTCGCATTTACACAATATTCCAGTCAATGAACATTCCTGTCTCACTTAGAGCTACATTCTTTCATGGCCCACTGGGGAACATGACACTTTCTCCTCAGACCTTCAGGAATGAAAGAATCAAAGCCTCAGGCAACTGCAACTCAGACTCACTGAGCACCACAGTAACTGCACGTGCATGTCCCAGCATGTCAGAAAGCACATGCGGCATAACTGCCCAGTGATGCAACAGCAGTGACCTGCAGGATAAACATATATTGTTATGTGTAAATCACAGGTGATTTACGCTTCATTCCTCTGCACTTCAGGCATGCCATAAATCCTTCACGAAGCCAAAGCACCATAGTGCTCCCAGATGGTAAACATTTAACAATATTGTATAGCTGTACAGTTAGAGCACTTGAAGTGGTGTGCATGACATCTACTCTTGCTATACTGTAGTAGAAAATTATATTGTGAGCTGAAAGTGAAAAAAAGATAAGATCAATTTATCCACGCCAGTGCAGATATCTGTACTGCCTCTTCTCTCTAAATAAAAGTAGCCAAGTAAGGAGGTGGGGTTTATATTTCACATGATTTCTTTCTTTGCTCTTAATACCATTAAAGTATGAGAGAACAAAGTCTGGGAGCAGAGGAGCAGAATGTGATCTTAATCCCTGACTAAGAGGGATTAGTATCCGAGTACACTGATTTCACGTTTAAAAACAGTCTAAAGACTAGATTCAGTTCAGTAAGAGAATGTTAATTCTACTTTATATAAATCTCATTGTGTAATTGTGTTTTTCTGTGCCATCTGAAATCAGCTTTTAATTGCATATTTTTAATGTGTTGATATTCGGTTTATCTTTTGAGATGTTTGTTTTAACAGTAAGGAAAACACCTTTCCCTTTAATGGATAGAAACATAAATATAAAAAAAAAAAAACTGCACTACCATTCCAAATTTTAGGGAATACCAGAAATTCATATTTTTCTTCAGCAAGGATGCATTAAATTGATCAAAAACGACAAGAAAGTCTTTTACACTGTTATAAAAAGATTCCATTTTTAAAAATGCCGTTCCTTCAAACCTTCTATTCATCAAAGAATCTTGAAAAATGAAGACAAAAAAAAGAACAAAATGTATCACAAATCAGCATATTAGAATGATTTCTGAAGGATCGACTGGAGTAATGGCTGCAGAAAATTCAGCTCTGCAATCACAGAAATAATATTACACATTTTTTAAACAAATAAACGCAGTCTTGTTAGGAATTAAGGACTTTTTTCAGAAACACCAAATTTTGAACAATAGTGTAATTTATTGCTATTTTCCAATACATTACTACTGCAATAATCCCATGTCACGTATTGCTTCTAGTTTCAGTTTTTAAAGTTTGTACCAAACATGTAAATAACACGTAGAAGACTGGATCTGGAGCATAGAAATTAAATGACACAGGTATTTATTAACAAACCAAAATAACTGCATTTTCAAGCATATTCGTTCCTTTTTCATTAAGTGAATTCAGATGCATTAATGATCTATTATCAACTTTAATAGCTTGTCAATGTGTAACAAAAAAAAAAAAAATGAAATGCCCACTACCTACAGCACTTTTGGGCTTACACAAATAATAACAGTGCCAAGTCATGTTTTGTCACCACAATAACACTGCAGTTTTAGCATAACACAATCTGTTTCAATCTAAAATCAAAATAATTATGTTTTATTTCTCTTGGCAACATAAGAACTACAGTCAAGTGGTTATTAAATTGAAATAATAATTATAAAAAGTTGCTTTGATAACTGAATTTGTTTTTGCACACTATAGTAAATTCTATCAGCTTGAACATACAGATGCCACTAGCTTTATCCTCACTTAGCCATGAAGATGGATATAAATAAATGGTAATAGAGGCCAGATCAAATCAGAGTGGACTAGGCAATTTCCTACAGTTCTTCCAGTGAGAATGTAATTTGTTCATCAGACGGGCCGTTCCATCACCTTTAATCATTTGTATCTCCATCGTCACCCTTAGATTTAGATGGGGTGGGTTTATGCTTTGATTTTGCTTTCTTGGCATTCTTCTGTTGCCCTGGTGGATTTGGGCAAGGCTGCAGAGCCTGTGAGATGTCTGTCAAAGTCCAGCGATCCTCCTTCAATGCATGCTCTTCCAGTGTGAACTGACCCTGCTTGGTCCGAGTGAGTTCCTTGATGTGAGCACAGGATGATTGAGCTGTGGGGGTACAGCAGGGAAAATCTGATTATTATGTCAAGTAAATTAAATGTTATTTTTTTAGGGTAATATTGCAAGAAATAAATATCTCTAGAGTGCTACCTTTTGCAAGATCATCAACCAAGCTTCTAACATAAAACCCACCTCCACACTCAACATCTGTAAATGCAAAAAGTACATTTAAATTGAACAAAAAACGTGAAATAAAGCTGTTCGGCATGGCATAATGATTTTATAAAAGATTATTTTTTCTAACCTAGTGCACCCAAAATGAAAATCTGTTGAATTTACCCTCTGGCCATCCAAGATGTAGATTATGCATTGCATCACTTGCTCACCAATGAATCATCTGCAGTGAATAGCCGCCGTCAGCTGATAAAAGCATCACAACAATCCAAAAATTATCGACACTCCAGTCCAGACACAACTCCAGTCCATCAATTACCGTCTTATGAAGTGAAAGGCGAAAACAGTTCAAAAGAGTTCTAAACAAATATGTCAGTGGATTTTGAGGTGGGAGGACAACAGGGACTTTTTCACCGGAGGAAGCGTTATTATGGATTATGAACACATATTTGGACTAGAAGCAACAGTAAGCTGTAACAACTTAATGATGGAATTGCTTTTTACAAACATGCAGCTTTGCACCTCACTAGATGTTAATTGTGGGACTGGAGTCTCTCCTTCTGACGGCACCCATTCACTCCAGTGGATCCATTGGTGAGCAAATGTTGCAATGCTAAATTTCTCCAAATCTGTTCTGATGAAGAAACAAACTCATCTACATCTTGAATTACCTGAGGGCAAGTACATTTTCAGCAAATGTTCATTTTTGGGTGGACTATTTCTTTAACTCTCTTAATGCAGTAGTTGTACAAGAAAACGCATTTACCATTTATTAACATTTATCATATCTTATGTCTTTCCAAATATAACATAAAAATGACAAACCTATGGTGAAATATGGCGGGCTGAAGTCTTGTAAAGAGAGACTGTAGACTGTGACTGGACGTGCAGGTTTAGCCTCAACCTCTTGACCTTGCTTGAGCAGGACAGACATGCGCTTGCCATCCTTCTTCAGTGCTGAATATCTATCAATGCAAATATCAGAAAGTCTATGATGTCAAGAAACATAATCTTGAGTATCAAGCAGAACAAATGGACTTACAGAGGTGGAACCTGCATAATTTCACCCGTAAACTGCTTCAGCTTCTCCTCAAAAGCCTCTTTTGTGATGTGATCTGGGGAAAAACAAGCATTTATCTTTATAGTCTAACTTCTGTGAGCTATCCATTCCCCCATCACAAGCGTAACCACAAAACCATGATTCTCACCATAACTCTTTTCTTCAACAACATTTCCTGTGACGTCAAGAGTATCAGTTGCTTTGCCTAACTCTCCAACAGCTCTGTATTTTTTTTTATAATTATCTTTATTAATACATTTTTTGGATGGGACATTTTAAATGGTAGGCTACATATTAAAGTGCGATCTTTTATAAGTTGATGCACTGGACAGATCACAGGGACTCTTCGAAAAGAAAGGGTCTGAAAGATAATATATAAAAACTTCAAAAGCAACATCACAATCTGTTAAAGTCAGAAAAAACGGTAGCTACTATTAAAGCAGGAGTGGCTAGTCAAAGTATAACTGCTTCAGCGGGAACTGTAACCACATACCGTCAATAGTATCCTATCGTGCAGGACACGCCCATTGTGTGAGGCTCTGGTTCCCGTTATTCTCTCCCGCTTTGTAGTGATCACTGAAGCCGAGCGCCAGAGCTGCTCATGGACACAGAGCTCGCGCACTTTCTGCTTATCTGAAGTCGGGGAACTGTATTTTACACATTGCCGAGCATCGTTATTTCAGGAGGAAAAATACAGCTTATCATTCTGCATCATGTCAACAAGAGGTAACCAGTTTTTATGTAGTTTTTAAAAAGGCATTATTTGCGAGGACAAATTTCTTATTCATTCGTACTCAAAAGAGGTCAGTCTATTTGAAACGTGTTTCATTCTGCTTAGAATGAAGCTACCTTTAAACTTGATGAGACTGTCATGTCTCTACACCTGTCCTGGAACAGTTTTGTTGTTGTTGCACATATCAAATCTGACAACTATAGCCCACATGTGAGTTAAACTAGTAATGCTACATGCAGCATCATAGCACTTACTATAAAAATATATTATTACAAACACTATTAAGCTGTACACTAAAGATTGAGACCATGTGTTGATAAATATTACAGTTGTCATTAAACTTTGATTCATATTCATATTAATATACTGCAAATGTCAGCATTCAACATATTTTTCCTAACCTATATCTGATTAGAAGGAAAATAAGGAAAATTAGCTTTTTTTCTAATTCTGAAGTGTATTTCAATGAAATTTGAATCTGTTTGTTTGGGAGATAGTTTTGGTGAAAGGTGTCCCTTTGTCTGGATAATTTTGCTTTCGACATTGCATAATATCTCACAATTTCTTCAGGTATTCCTGACAAGGTCTGTTGCAAATTGAAGAAGCAATGTGGTATTTATTGTATATTCTTTATGGACTTAAAAAATGACTTGAAGACAACTGTAGGGTTAAATAAAGCAATTACCTTCTTTTCTGAGTTCAAGAAAGGACACAGAGAAGTAACAAAGCCTATTAGACTGGTGTATTATTTGTATTTTGTCCTCTTGCTGTTGGATGCTCTTCCTTTCATATTATCATCATGCTATCCGATGCTAGTATGTATACGCCCACTGAATGTTTCTTCTTCTTATTTTTGCTTTGACAGTTCAAATGGTTTCTGGACTTCAATTACAAACTCACCGCAACCACCGCTGATGATTTGTTGTGCTGAGTCTATTTAAAGAATCGGGCTACTGCTACCATGAGCCACAGTCATAAGCCTCGACTGTGCTATAATTACAGCATGTGTTCAAAAACTTGAGGATCTAAGAAATTATTCTTAAAAAGTGTTGCAGTATTATTGATTTAGCTTTTGTGATTTAAGTGGGACTTCAGTCCGAGTCTGAGACTTGCTTTTCTATCTCTGCTAGAGAGGTTTGAGTGGAGGAATGCCAGTATTACTGGCTAGTCAGAGTTTATAGTTTTTTATAGTCGTATAGTTGTTCTTAAGAATGGTGCTTTTCTTCAAATGGTTTAGTCTTCTATTTGAATTCAGTCTAAATGTCAAAAACTGCAACTTAAACTGAAGTAGATGCAGAATAGTTATGTTTATAGGTTTGGAGGGTTTTGGTCATAAAATTTCTGTATCTGACATTTTGGCTTGAAGTGTGTTTAACTTTTGAGTTTGATTTCAAACGGTTACATTTTGATGAAGTCCCATTAGCAGCGCTGTCTTGTACTTTCAAGTGCAAGTCCATGTTTTTCTTGCCATGTCCCTACGACCCCTATAGCCTGGAGTATTAGAGTTCAATTTAAACATAAGATCAGCAAGCCTTTTCCCAGGTGTCCAGTCATTTCATTTTAATCATTGAGGTCACTGGAATCTGTAAAACTGTGGAATAAGTTTGACAAAATGAAAGAATATATTAAAAACATCTAAGTAGGGGTAAATGGGGCAATCTGTCACACAGGGAGGTTGTCAAAAAGGCTATTTCTCAGTAAATATAAGGTTTTGTGATGAAACAATTCACAAATGCCTTTAATAAGCTATTTAAAAAAATTTGCCACTGACGATTCAAATGCGAGTTTAGAGTAGCACTTGTTGTTTGTCAATTCTCCGATCACAAATGCAGACATGGTTTTATGTTTATGTGGCACGATGCAATGCGTAAAAAGACAGTATATGTCATTATAATCCGTCCCCACTGGATGCAACTAATGCCTCCTTTATAATGGGTTTGAATGTTTTTGTCTCGTCAGTATGGTAGGGGCGTAACATTTCCATTACACACTTGAGGTATTCGGCCAATCACAACGCACTGGATAGCTGGCCAATCAGAGCACACCTCGCTTTTCAGACCGATGAGCTTTGTAAAAATCGACGCGTTTCAGAAAGGCGGGGCATAGAGGAGAAACAAGAATGTACAGTATGTGGAAAATAATGTTTTTTAATCTTAAACATAAACATTTAATTACACCAAATACACAAAATAATGTTCTTTTTAGCAACATCATATGACCCCTTTAATGGTTCTATTGTACCGCTTACAACATGTATACTGTGACAACATGCTCTGCTATTGGGGCATGTTGTCACAAAAGGTTTATGCGTGTTAAATTGACTGTATTTTTAATGGCGGAAATATTGCATTACTTTTTCATGGCCAAGACTTTAAAATACGTCATTTGAAAAATAAACCTTGAGACATAATCACAGAAGTAAAAAGTGTGACAACTAGCTCCATTCTCCACTATTCAAAAGAACAAACGATTAAACACTAACTGGCACATCTTCTTGATGTGATTCTCAGTATCCTCCCCATTGTTTACTCATCTATTCGAGGTGCATTCCCTCTTTCTCTCTGTATCTCCATTCCCCGGATCCAAGATCATTGTCGGCCCCTAGGGAAGCCCAGTTAAAGCTGTCAGCGGAAATCAGTGTGAGAATCTGAAAAGTAAACCGTCTCTAACAACATCCAGCGAGTAGGAACCTCTCAAGACGTGCTTCTCTTTGGGCTTTAATCAGAGCAGTGATACCACTGTTTTCTTTCCCAACAGCCCTCACATATATTCCCCAAAAAAGACAACTTCATGACAGCTCTATCACTTTCACCTTCAGAAATTGGCAGTTTTTGAGATGGAAAAACAAACCAATGATAGTTCAGTGTGTTTCTTAAAGGTATAGGTCATTCAAAAATTCTAATTCTGTCATCATTTATTCACCCTCACTACTCCTTTAATGTGTTAAAAATGCAAGAAAATGATGATACTAAATTATATACTTTTGAGATATTTCGAGACTGATTGGACTGAGGATTGTAAACGAGGTGTGCTCTACTTATCGCTGTCAATATATATATATATATAGTATATATATATAAGTTGCAGGTGTGAGCACCAGATGGAGCCCATCATTCTGATTCCAGCTGACCACACACTCCTGAGCTCTGTATTCCCTGTGGGCTGCTGATTCTGTGCTTCTGCGCTAAAAAAAAATCGTCATCCTGACAAATGCTTCATCTGCACTCAGCTCCAGAGCCACTCGAGAGCCTACAGAAGAAATGCTCAGCTTCAATTGGAAATTTATCGTACTCTGCATTTGCTAAAATTTTTAGGCCACGTTCTCCTGATGCCTGGTTCATGTCAAAGCCAGGTTGCTTTACTTAGTTTATCTCACTTTGTGGACAGAAGCCCAGTTACAGACTAGTGGGGGAAAGGGCTGCTGATATTACTGGCTACCAGCCGACTTTTGTCCCAATTATTTCCTGTGTTATTGTAGAAGATGTGGCTAAAAGTAAACCTAGAGATCCCTCTCAAAACAAAAGATCATTATGCTCTACAATATAGTGAAAAAAGCTTAATCACAAAATCCAGAGTACATTTGATCCCTTGTCTTCTTGCCTCTTATAGTGACCTTGTAAAAATATTGAAGAAACAAACTTTTAGTTACATATTTGTGTCTGTATGTGTGTGTGTCAAATTTTGCATTGTTCCCCAGAAAGGTATAAACCTGAAATAACCTAATCCAACAGTCTCAGTGAGCAAATGGCTAAAGAAACATACAAAATAATGTCCTGATGAAAATCTGAAAATTATTATATATATATATATATATATATATATATATATATATATATATATATATATATACTGTATATATATATA